TTGACAGTTGCAGTGTCAAATTTTGTCATTTTCCTTGCATGAATTTAAATGCAAAATTTGTAAAAATTTATTACAAATGAACATGACATGTACATGTCTTTCTATCTCTTTTTTAGAGGAGGATCTTCCTGACGTCCTTCAGGAGGTTATTTATGAAACCAAATGGTATGACTTGGGTCTTGCCTTACGTCTCCCTTCTCCAGTACTGGACGAGATAAAGACCACCAATCACCACATTGTGTCTGACTGTAGGAGGGACATGATATCAAGATGGTTGAAGTGTGGCAGTAGAATCAGGCCATCATGGCGGGCATTGTGTCATGCTTTAAGGAGTCCAATGGTTGGTAACATAGCAATGGCTAATAGGATCGCTCGGATGCATCAAATCCTGTCATAGTGATGATGATTTAGTAACCAAATCTCTCTTTAACGTATCACAGAACTTCACATACAGCTGCAGCATGTAGATAATAGAACAGACAAATGATTTATTGTATTTATCATTATTGTTATTATTATTATTATGAAAAATAGTAAAATACACATACATAAAACAATAAAAAAAGTTCATTGTACTCCTTTGGTCTCAGTCTTTCTTGACTGCTCCCAGTCCAGTTGGTTTCAGTGACATACCAGCTAATATTTTCTTCCTTGCTGCCTCCTAATACTTTCAGTTTGTTCAATTCCTTCTCCATCAGACGACGGCTCCATCTTCTTTAAGTGTTCCTCTAATTTATCGACATACAACTTCAAAACTTTATGTGCCTATAAAGACCAATCATTGCTTATAGTGTCATTTTGCATGATACATAACATTTATTACATGTAGTATACACATGTACATCATTTCTCAAGCTCCACCCACCTGCTTTCGGACGGACTGGTTTTTATCTACAATCATGTGACTCAGTGAGGGGATGATCCTGGTTGCCATGTCAACGGGTGTGTAGTAAGAGAGGGTGGAGCCCAGTGCTCCTATACCAGCTGAGCGAGCAGGAGGAAACGGGTCTTTAAGGGAACGAGTGAATGCTGAGACAAGGACCCTGTCTCTAGTCTAAAGTATAATAATCATATTCATTGGTCTGTGCATTAATCGGAATGAGTACCTTGCTGTTCAGGTGAGGGGCAATC